CCCCGGGCCCTGGAAGGCACCTGTTTTCCTTCATGTGGGCTAATCTTACTCTCAGGCAGGCCCTCAGGGCAGCTGATGTTATTCCTATTGGGTAGATGGAGAAACTGAGGTCCGGAGAGGGGAAGCATCTACCCCCATCAGACCCCACCTGCCTTTCCAAAGCTTATCCTGAGCCACCCTCCTCATTACTCCGTGTCCTGGGCCCTCTGGCCACCACGTTTTTCCCCTCTTCCTCTTCTTTTTCTTCAATTTAACTTTATATTTTGAAATAATTATAGTCACAAGAAGTTGCAAAAAAATGGTACAGAAAGGTCCAGTGTGCCCTTTACCCGGTCGCCTCCAGTGGTGACATCTTGCATCACTATAGTGCAGAGTCAAAGCCAGCTCTGGCCTCTCTTATTGCTCAAATGCTCCATGTCGCTTCTCACCCACAGGCCAGTGCCCATGCCATTCCCACGGCCAGGTGTACTCTTCCCACTCTCACCCCCTCCACCCTTCGTCTCAATGACTCTCAATTACCCTTTAGCTCTCAGGTCAAGCTGTGCTTCCTCAGGGACCTATCCCCACCACACCCCTGCACCCAAGTGGGTCAAATCTCCTGTTGAAAGGCCTTGGGACTGAGACCCACTCCGTCACTGCTCTACCCTAGTTTACATCCGTTTTGGTGATTTGTGTCCATCTCCTCATGACACTCTGGGTCTCAGTCATGTTAGCAGGACCTGTTTCTTTGTTTTTTTTAAATATATCTTTATTGATTTTAGAGAGAGGAAAGGAGAGGGAGAGAGAGAGATAGAAACATCAATGATGAGAGAGTCATTGATTGGCTGCCTCCTGCACGCCCCAGACTGGGGATCGAGCCCACAACCCGGGCATGTGCCCTGACCAGGAATCGAACTCCAGTCACCTGGATCCTAGGTCGATGCTCAACTGCTGAGCCATGCCCGGCCTGGTGGCAGAACCTACTTCTACTCACCACTTTGTCTTCCGGGTCTAGCATATCATGCTGGGCACATAGTAGATGTTCAATAAATGTTTGATAGCTGGGAGGGTGGACACAAGAAATAGGGCCTTACAAAACCAGTCAGGACTTGAACCCAGAGCCCCTGCCTTCCAGCCATAGCTCTGTCTGCTACACTTGCCATTTTTGCTGGTCAGGATGGGTCAAGAGGGAAAGAGTTACATCCCTGATTCCCCAGCATCTCATCTAAGTTTGGGCAGGGAGTGGGGAGAATGGAAGAAATGCCTTCCATCGCCATCGCCGCCTCAGCTTGCCCAGCTAGGGGATGCCAGGCCTAATGAGGACCACATGATGTGGGCCCAGATCAAAGGGGACGTGCAGTTAGCATCCCCTTGATCAAGGCCATCCTTGCCCGAGGGAAGCCACTGTGTGGCACGCTGCAGTGGAGCTGAGGCCTCCCAGGACTTGCTGGGGGCCTTGGCTTCTGTTGAGTGAAATTCCAGATCCCCACCCCTCCTCTGTCACCATCCGGGTGGTGTGACCATGAGCCAGGCAGAGACTCTCTACAGACCTCGGGCAAGTCCCTGCCCCTGCTTGGCCTTTAGAAGGCCCTCTGCGCCTGCTCCCCACAGAACCACCCACAGCTGTGACCTCTCTGAATTGTTGTCTCCACCACAGGGTGACCGGGGCATGATGGGACCCCCAGGAGCACCTGGGCCCAAGGGGTCAATGGTAAGGAGCAAGTCTGCATCCCTTTGCCTTCTCCTGACACAGTCATGGTGACAGCTCTGCTCTCCGGCTACCCCAGGCGTTCAGGATAATTTGCGCCTTGCCCCTCTGGGGGGCCTGGTTGCTGTCCTGTGTCCCCAGGCTCGGGCCGAGCCTGCTGAGGCGAGGCTGAAGGAGGAAGAGGCACTTTCCACCACCCAGTTCTTTTTTTCTCTCTGTGTAGGGTCATCCTGGAACACCAGGTGGTGTTGGGACCCCTGGAGAGCCTGGACCCCCGGTAAGCAAAGCCCTCCTGTTCCCTGAGCTCAAACCTACTGTCAGATAAGGGGAAGGAGTCCAGGCCTCAGAGTCAGACCGACCTGGCTTCAAATCCCAGGCTATATTGCCAGGGTAGGTCATTGAACCCTGAGTCTAAATTTCGCTCTGCTGGAAAATAGAGAAAATAATCGTGGTCCCGATAGTGTGATTGCACAAGTTAAATGAAACCATGCAGCTGATGTTCATTTACTACATAGGGATGCTCATTACACGGGAGCATCTTGGTCACTAGCACTATTATGTTCATTTACTAGGGAAATACTGTGTAATATGTGCCTGGGGCTTCACCAGGAGCTGGGGATTCTGCCATCAGCAAGGCAGAAAGCTGTCCCTGTGTGTCCTTTAGGAGCTTATATTCTGGCATGGGAGAGAGAGAGGACCCAATAAATAAATGCCTGCTATGGGGAAAGGAGAGAAGAAATGGGAAACGCTGGGCACAAATGGGCGGAGCGTCAGAAGTGTTGGGCTTCTTGTGATGACCGAGGAGCCTGGGATATTTCCAAGGATCCCAAGGCAGGGAGGGATGAGAGAGGTAGGAGGGCTGGGGGAGCGGTATGGTAGGAGCACCCACATTCAGGGGCCCCTTTCTGCTCCCCCAGGGTGATGTGGGGGGTAGGGAGGGCTGGCTTTCCCTCCAATCTAGAGCATGGTGACCTTCTGGTCCCTCTGCCTCTGAGGATGGAGAATGTGGAAACTGGCAAGGGCACTCACTTCAACCAAGGCCAGGACTCTGGGAGGTGGAGGGGTGGGCTTCAGGCAGGTGGAAAGAGTGTGGGGGAGGGGGCCCAGCCCAGTCAGGCTGCCCAGGTCCCTCCAAAGGCCAGATTGAGGGGCTCCCTAGGGTCTGATGAAGGAGGGCACGGGAGCCTTTGAGGACCTGAACCCAAAGAAAGTGGGCACACACCAGTTCTCTGCGCCAATTAGGGAAGCAAGGCCAACTCAGTTCCCAAGCTTTTGCATGCATCTGCTGCACACGGGGCCTATGCTCAGCTCTGGGGATGTAAAAATGGTAAGAAATAGCTCTACTCTTAAGATTCTCACTGTCTAGTGGGGGTGCCAAGTAGAAACACTCTCTCACTCATTAATAGACCTTTACCTGAGCGCCTGCTATGTGCCAGGCAGTGCTAGGTATGAGCAACCTGGACACAAGTAACCATCATCTAAACACAGGTGCCAGGCAAGAGCAGGCTCTATCTGCCCCCACAATCCTTTGATGAGGTAGAAAGCTCTCGGAGTCCAGAGCTGGGGTCAGAGCCAGCACTCTGGGCCCCCGTTGGCATATTTGCCCCCAGTTCATGAGGGTGAGGAAAAGCCACATCTGGCCTGGGGCTGGAGGGGCTGGTTGCAGGCTAAGGCACCCAGTTTGGAATCCAAGGGTCCTAGCCACCCAACCACAGGCTAGGTTCCCACTTCCTTCTGCAGTGTTCACCTGAGTACCAGGGCCCAGGAGGCACTCCTGGAAACAGAGTGATTCAAACCCGTCAATGTGGGAGATGTCCAGGGTCAAAGCCCAAGTACAGGGATGCTAGGGACCGTTATAAAATTCTAGCTCTTGCACCCCTGGACTTTGGCCTCCCTGGGCTTCAGTCTTCCCATCTGTCCAGTGGGAAGAAGAAAGCCTGGAAAGGAGCTCCTGGGACAAGATGGGAGGCCAATGGGAGGTGGGCAAACAGTGGGGATGTCTAGGACACACATAGAAGGAAGGTGCTGGCCTCCTCTGAGTTCCCTACCTCTGTGGCCCCACTGACCTCTTCCCGCCCCATTTTCTCAGTACTTCCATCTGTTCAATGGGTTGGCCCAGACTGAGTGATATCAGACCGATCCCAAGGTTGCCAGTGACCCTTTACTGCTGTAGTGTGGGGCTGGTCCCTTGGATCTCCTGGGGCTCCTTCTGGCCAGCCGGCTGACCATAGTGCCACAGGGAAAGCAGGAGAGCATGGAGGTCCACTGACTGCAGAATCAGACACATGTGAGTCAAATCCTGGCTCCCCCACCTACTAGCTGTGTGATTGTTGGCAACACTCATAGCTTCCCTGAGCCTCAGTTTCCCCATCTGTAAGCCAGCATAATACTACCTTCATTATGAGATTGTTGTGAGGACAAATGATTTAGTTCATGACATAATTGCTCAGCAAACTACCTGCATGTACTAAGTGCTTAATGAATGGTATTAGTAAGAATAATTACTACTTGTTAGCTACTCTAATTACCACTATTACTAGTAAGACTATTACTAGTATGGCGAAGTTTCTGACGATACTATTCGCATCTGATTGGCATTTTCCCACGTTTCCAATCACTTTAACATCCAGTCCTTCTGCAGTCCCTGAGGTCAGAGAGATTATGATCTCCCTGATGGGGGATGGGACACAGTCAAGCCCTGAGATCCCCAGCTCGTAGCCACCCTTCCTGAGGACCTTCCAGGTCACTGTGTCTTTTCAGCAACTCTAGGAGGCAGGGCTTTTCTTATCCCCATTTATCAGTTGATGAAACTGAGGCCAAAGAGTTGAAGTCACTTGCCAAAGGTCACAGAATTAGTAAGTGGCAGAGCCGGGATTTGAACCTAGGTCTCTGGTGGAGCAGTTGGCTCGTTTAAGCATTCCTCTCTACTGCTGCTAAGTCGAGACTTGGCCCCTGAAATTTCCCAGTGACGCATTGCGTGCCTTCTGCAGCCTGAACTCCCTCCATAAAGGGGTCCCTTCTCACCCAGTCTGTGTTCTCCATCGCTCAGGAGTCAGATCTGCATTTTTATTGGGCCCAGCCCAGGTCCACACCCTGCTTGCTGTGCCGACAAGGGATCAGGTTGGGACCCAGCCCTTCACATCAGCCCTTGGGCAGCAGCAGAGATGGGAGCTGGAGGAGTTTTTCCTGAGGCCACAAACAGAGCTGGGCCTCTCCCTGGTATTCAGAGGGAGCTGAGGCCGCCCCTTCCTCGTGGAAGGAGCACGCACAGTCTGAGACTGGCCCGAGCTGGGAGGCTCCTGCAGCTGTGAGGGGTCGTGGCTGGCCATGGGGTGCAGTTGCTGCTTGATGGGTCCAGCTGGGGCTGGAACCCGGGGAGAGGAATTAGGCAGTGAGACCGCCACTTCCTCTCTTTGCCTTCTTTCTCTCCTTTCCCGCCTCCTGTCCTCTTCAGTTTGCTTAATCATCAGTCCTTCAGCAGATCCACGTCCCAGGCCTGTGCTGGACCAGGTGCTCAGAATTCAAGGAACAAAGCCAGCCCTGTTTGCTGTCCCTCCCCCTCTGTCTCTCCCTTGCGCTTGTTCTTGACATTCTAACATCAAACCGAGATAACTGGGCATCCTCCTGGGGCCAGGCCTGTTTCCTTCTCTTTGCCCGCCCCCCTCACTTCTCTGCCCAGCC